TCTTTGAGAAAGATGATATATATTACAAGCTTTTATTTTTTTTTTTAATAAAAAAAAAAAAAAAAAAATCATGAAATTATCGAAATCAAAATTCTTGTAAATATCAAATGAGATGCTATGTTATGTTGTAAATATTCAATAAACTGCTATGGATCAAAAAAAAAAAACACCATACAATAGCTTTTGAGCTTTCTCATGATTAACCAATTTCATTTTCAGACCGGCACAAACAAAGTACGTAGTCACAAGTTTATTACAATGATGAGATATCATATATATATACACAGCCATTTGCAAAAATTATGGCCGTTTCAAATATACATACAAGTATATCAAAAGTATATCAGACACCGCGGGATATCCTCCCTAATATTTTTTTCAGTAAGCCCAAGTGATAGACAACTCGAAAAAATATCAGAGAGGATATCCCATTATTTTTGCTATGCTTTTTATATACTTGTATATATATATTATACTGCCATAGAACCCTTGCAGCAGTTCCTAGTGGAGTTCAATTTGGTGGACACAACTAAGTTTTAATGACCTTAGCGTCTATCAAATATGCAGCTACCGTACCATATACTTGTCAATTGAGCAGGTTGCATATTTTCCATCTCACTTTTACATTTACCTGAGGAATAAACAATCTCAATGCAGCACAAGATCACCAACAGGAGCAATAACAGCTTCATTGGGACGGAATTCAATTCTGATAAGAAAATTATGTTCTTTGTCGTAAACTTGTTGGCAGTCAGGACGTGCAAGGATATGCTTCCTTGTTTCTTGATCACAGATAATGTTGGCACACGCCTCAAGTTGAACGAGTTCTGATTGGATAAATATCACGTGATATATTTCTATACACGTTTCTGATTGGACGAGGGACAATATTGGAAGTCTATTTGTTTTGCGTCTTTAATTAGTTCAAACTAGGTCAATGCCAAGAGAATTCGGTAACTAGGAAACACCAAGCTCTGTAGAGCAGCTTCTTCTAAAAAAGACAAGAGACAGAAAAGCCTTCAAAGGACTTCTTTTCAAGAACTTTAATCTCGAATAGAATAGAGTCCCCGTTGTTCAGCTAATTGCTGTTAATAATGGAACAGAACTGATACTGATTCTGATACTGGTAAAAATTAACGACGCAATACCAACCAACCCTTTTTTTCCCCAATTTATTATCATTTAATCTTTTGAAATTCTTTCATGAAAAATTAGGTCACGAGAAGAAATGCCAAAAATAATTAAAAAATAATATTAATTATTGCCGTAGAGAAATCTAGATATTTCAGAAAGCCTGTAATTACAAATATTTGTTTTTTATATCAGACCTGGAGGCCTGCCTCAACCGCCAGGCGCGCGGTTGAGGCATGCGCTGTTGACATCAAGAAATGGATGACAAAAAATATGCTAAAGCTGAATTCAGATAAAACTGAGATATTTGTTTTATCAAATAGTCATCGACCAAGACCTGCTGTTGATTCTATACACATTTCAGGTTCTGATATTTCTCCCTCTCCTGCTGCTCGCAACATTGGTGTTATTCTTGATAATAAGCTTTCTCTTGATGAGCATATTAGATCCTCATCTCCTCGAAACTTGATTTTTGTACATATATACATACATACATAACCTTCATTTCAATACGGAATCTCTTCATAAAAATGTTTTTCCAGAGAGCCGTTTATACAATAACAAATAATAAATAATTAGATCAAATAATATGTACAAAATTTTCAAATTACTCTATATATCCTAATGCTCTAATTTACTACAATCTACTAGAAATAGCTTAATAATACTAATAATAAAATTATTCTAAGTTTTTTACAAAAAATTTAAGATTTGGTTGCCCTCTAGTACGATTGGGCAAATTATTCCAGAGAACTGCCCCCCTGTAATGGAAGCTGTTTTTTCCAGCTTCAGTATATGGTTTTGGTACCGTCACATTATAAGTTGAGTTTCTCAGATTATAAGAATGCACAGATTTTGTGCTACTAAAAACCTGAGTCAAATAATGTGGAGTAATTCCATTTAATGATTTATATATTATTTTTGTAAGTTGTTTATATCTTCGAGTTTCAAGATTATCCCATTTGAGCTCACACAGAATTTCTATTGATCTTCTATCATAATTCGAACTTGTTATTACTCTAGCAGCTCAATTTTAAAGTGTCTGAAGCATGTCACTCATCCAACACAACACTACAGTAATCGAAATATGGTAGTATAAGAGAGTTGTACATTGTAATTAATGTATCGTATGGTACAAGATGCTTTACACGCCTTAGAGCTCCAATCCCTCCAGAGACCTTCATAGCAATATTTTCTATATGATCCTTCCAAGTCAATGTCAACTCCAAAATATTTATACTTTGTTTCCTTTACAAGGGAGTTTTGATCTACTTGGATTTGAAATTCATGTTCAAGATGATTTATCTTGTATTGACTAGCCATAATCATGTATTTAGTTTTGACCACATTTAGGCTTAGCTTATTTGTTTTAAGCCATGTGTGTATTTCACGCAAGTCACGATTCACTTGCTGTTCTGAGATAATTTCATTAGAATTTGCAATAGAAAGACTAGTATCATCCGCATACATTCTCACATTTGAGTAAAGATTGCAATTTGGAAGGTCATTAACATAAAGAATAAATAATAGCGGGCCTAAGATGGATCCCTGTGGTATACCACATTTGATTTCACAGCTATCTGACAGTACCCCTTCAATGAAAAGCTTTTGTTTCCTGTCTGTAAGATATGAATTAAACCAATTTAGACTTGACTGGCAGACACCATAGAGTCTTAACTTATCCAGTAAAATTTGATGATCCACGGTGTCAAAGGCCTTTTTGAGGTCTATAAAGATGACTCCATTTAAAAGACCCTTATCAATATTCAAAAACCATTCATTGGTGACATCTAACAAAGCTGTCAAAGTTGAGTAATTGTAAATTGTAATTCTACCAAATCACGGTGACGTCACTTCCGGTTAACATGAGATGCACACGTGCTGCCGTGGATGCTCAGTACACAAAGCTTAGCCGTGGAGTTCGGATCTCTTCGAATCCTTCGAAGTTGTGGAGACTTTATCGATAATATTTTTCACTTCATTCATTAGGTAAGAAGTTTGATTTGGGATATTTTTACTTTATCTTCTTTTATCTTCTTTCGTTTTAGATTTTTCAAGTCATATTTATGATGCAAACTCCGTCCAAGCGAATCTGWTTGTAAGTCGAGTGCTTCATGCCTCACTTACACCGCCGAAATTTATGCATCCTAGGCGGTTTTTGGGAAAGAAAGTTATAGTTTCCCGAGTTGCAACCTTAGTTCTGCGAAATATTCATTATTTTGCTGGAATAAACTAATGGTTGCTCCCTACTGGTTTATTTTCCAGTAAATTTATTTCATGGCGGACGACACGAGGTGTTCACCTCCGCCATCTTGGAAAGATGAGATGTTGGGAATGTTCAACACATTCAAACAGGAGATCACTAATCAGATTCAGGAGCAGCTTGGACCTGTTGACGATTCAGATTCTGAACACAGCGTTTCCTCAGGAGAAAAGGACAGGGATTCGTCACAAGTCAATAACCTTCTTGACGATTATGTGGGTAATACCACTTCTGGTTTCGACAATCTTGCAGATGAATTCTCTACATCAGATAAGACTGGGCCAGCCGTTGATTCTAATTTAGCCACCATGGTGGAGGAACTGGTTAAAGAAAAGCTACCCAAGTCAAAACTCGACGATTTGATGTCAAAATATCTTCGACCAGAAAATTGCAAATTGCTGGTCTCGCCCAAAGTCAATAGAGCTGTTTGGAATCAGTTAAGCCAGAATACCAAAGCCACAGATAGGGCTTTTCAGAAGTCTCAACAGTATTTTATTACTGCCATGTATGCCATGATGTCTGCCTGCGAGAAGGCAACAGGAGAGATGAAGTCTGTTCTTGCACACTCTTTAGTCCTTGCCTTGGCAGGTAATCCAGAACTGAACCTAAGCCGGCAAAGATCCTCTTCATCTTCAAGAGATGGCAGAGCTTATGGCTCAAGGTCTTTTTTAGGAGAGAGAGGCTCCTACCGCAGGAGGGGAGGAGCCAGACAACGCACTCAGACCGACAAAGAATCTCGTCAATAATTTCCAGAGCTCAGGTTAGTTACATGACTCAAATTCATGCTATTATTGGGTCAGAGACACCATTTAGAGCTGGCCAATTACAACACTGTTTAGAGGAATGGAAAACAATTACCTTGGACCCCTTTGTCTTACAATGTGTGTCTAATTGTGAACTTGAGTTTGATTGCATTCCTATGCCATCAATTGGCTCTTCAAGTTCCTTACACCCAGAATTCAAATTCACATTGACAGAACAACAAGCTGTTGATAGAGAGATTGACACCTTTTTGGAAAAGCAAATTATTGAACGATGTCAGTCAGAACGTGGGGAGATTATTTCACCTATATTTCTAATACCTACTGAATGATTTTCAATTTAAAGTCCCTTAACCAATCAGTGACTTACCATAAGTTTAAAATGGACACGCTTGAGTCTGCAATCAAATTAATGAAGCCTGGGTGTTTTATGTCTTCAATCGACCTGCGAGATGCTTATTACTCCATACCAATATCTCCTGCCTATAGAATGTTTCTCAAGTTTGCATGGAGGGGATACCTGTTTCTATTTCGGGCCCTACCAATGGGGTTGACAAGTAGTCCACGTATTTTTACGAAGGTCCTCAAACCTGTTTTTTCCACCTTACGAACTCAATATGGACATAATTGYCTGGGATATCTTGATGACTCTTTCTTCACGGACGATACTGAAGATGCCTGTCGTGAGGCTACCATACATGCAGCTCAGCTGTTTACTCGTCTAGGTTTTGTCATTGACCCAAGCATGTCTATATTCAATCCTACACAGTCATTAGAGTTTTTGGGTTTCGTGTTAAATTCTGACACCATGACAGTTTGTTTGACCCCAAAGAAGATTGAGAAAATTGTCCTTATGTGTCAGAAGTATTTATGTGGACAGGCATATACCATTCGGGAAGTTGCATCATTGATAGGAACTTTGGTATCAACATTTTCTGGGGTGGAGTTTTGGCCCGCTGTATTATAGAAATTTAGAATGGGACAAGGATGTGTCCCTAAAAGCTACCCAAGGGGATTTTGATGAGAAAATGTCCCTTTCCAGGGAAAGTCTCCAAGAATTAGAATGGTGGGTCAGTTCCCTCCCTGCTGCAAGGAGAAACATTGTGCATGGTATCCCAACCATGATTCTTACGTCTGACGCATCTTCTGTGGGTTGGGGTGCTTGGACTTCCCAAAGTCAAACCCAAGGTCTATGGTCCCAAGTGGAGAGGAAATATCATATCAATRTCCTGGAGATGCTCGCAGTTAAACTGAATCAGTATCCAACCAACACATTAGGATCTTATCTGACAATACTACCACAGTGTCCTATATTAATGCTATGGGAGGTTGTAAGAGTAAGGAATGCACTCAGATTGCTAAGGACATTTGGTTATGGGCCATCAGTCGGCACCTCTGGCTCTCAGCGGCTTATCAGCCGGGGCAGCTGAATGCTATTG